TTAATGTGATGAACATTAAAAACTCAAGGATCATGATATGTGTGCATGTGTCATTTCTTAATAAAATTCTTTCTGGTTTTTTTTGACAGGGTATGTAAATAGATATTAGCTACACAAAGTTGTAGGAAAAAGTAAAACATGATACATAAGTAATAAATCATCTCAATATACATGTATGCAACATAAGAACTAATCAAAATATCACGCTTATAAAATGATTACAGTAGGATTAAGATTATTTTCATTATTCAAATTTTAGACAAATTTTGTAACTAAGTTTAATTTTATTAATGTGTGATGATGTAATTGTAAATAAACAAACATGATACCTTATTCCAAAAGGTTTGAAAGTAATTTTGTTGTTCCAGAATATTCATTACAAACTTGAACCTAAAGGAGCATAGATAACAACAAAAATCCGTTATTAATCCTAATAATAAAATATATGACTTAGAGTAGGAACCTGTATTTGACTATCATCGAAAATCTATACATCATCATGTTTGATGGAATTAAAGTGCAGAGAATAGTGGAATAGATGAGGACATGCGGCGACATAAGATAAAATAATAATAGATGTGAATATGTCGTACCATCGTGAAAATGATGGTAAAATTGAGATAGAAGAAAATTAAGGAAGATTATTTGAGATATGAGTTTTGAAATACATACTGATCATCAAACGTGTATGTATGAGAGACATCGTTCTTCTCATCGGCCTGACTTTAGGTCAACACAAACGAATCGTATCGCTTTTGTTCTGGAATCTTCGCCTCCGCCATAGACAATGATCGCTGATGTAATAAACATGATGATCGGCCTAACCAGAGCATCAACAACAAAGATCGGTAGAGGATTTTTCTCTAATTAGATATCCGATTGACAGAGAATCATCTTCTCAAATTGGATATTCGATCGGATCTATGATCGGCATGGGTCGACTTCTCCGTTCAGATCTTCAATCGATAAAGGAGGGCGAGATGAGGGCGGCGATGGCGGTGTTCTCCGGTGAATGGTGAACATACGATGTAGATATATAACGACGTGAGAGAGAGAGAAATGGAGAAAGAGATAGATCTGGTAAGGAATAGAGAGAGAACAAAGAGTCGATGGTCGGAGGCGGCATGGATTCCAGACGGTGGTGCTTTTGGGGGAAACAAATCGACGGAGGGAGAAGGTGAGTAATCATCGGTGATATGTAATTGCGAAATTGGTTTCGGAGTAAAAAATAGATTCGACATATTTTAATGCCAATAACACCCCTGGATCCAAAAATCTAGATACCCCCGCGTCTCTTTTTTACCACTTATTTACAGAATTGCCATAAGAAATCTAAGCCCTCTATTTTTTTGATCTAAAGATCTAAAATTAGTTCTCGGGTTACCGTGAAACTATAGGTTCTCAAATGATCCTTCCTCTCTCTCTCTCTCTCTCTATATATATATATATATATATATATATATATATATATATATATATATATAGGAGTAGGATCAAATGAGAACACCTAAAAGGTTGAGAACGCGAGAACGGATCTCATCCATCTAGTATCTTAGATCCAAGGCTATAATTAATTAGAAGTTTTGTTATTATTAAAATGTTTAAATTCAATTAATTTGAATTAAAAATAAGAAAAGGGTATCATGGTAAATAATCATTCCCTTATTTTAAACAACTCCTAAAATCACTCGGTCTCTCCCCCCACGGTTTTCTCTCATCTATTCGACCGCTTCCCACTGCTCCTTTTACATCGATTTCGGAATGAGCCCACTCTGTTCCACCATCGTCTCCACCGATATCTCCATCTTTTGTACCATTCTCCTATCTGCTTAGTAACATCATCTCTATCCCCTAGATCCGAGCCCTAATTACTGAAACGACAATGATAGAAGATCAAGAAGGATCTCAAGTCCTCAGTCCTCCTACCGCCTCAGCCACTATGACAACCCTAGACGATCACGGGTTCTGCGATCAAAATCAAGAGAGATTATAGGTCAATAGATCACACAAAGGTATATCTGTCTCCGATTACTCAAAACCTTGATGCGAATACAATTGTTTTTTTGTTCAATTTAGTTGATTTCAGTGAATGTTAACCATGGCTGCCAGACTGAAGCTGTAATCTGTATCGCTGAGATTCGAAGGAAACCCTATAGTTTTCGCCTTCCGTTTTTTTTCTTTATTCGGATGTTTCATTAGGGTTTCGTTGGGTTCAAATTTTAACGATGGCAGCCTCTTTGAAATCAATCCATCCTGTTTGGCTTCAATTTTGTGTCCATTCTCCAATTGGGATCTTGTATGAAGATGAAACTTGGAAGACCTCTTTGAAATCAATCCATCCTGTTTGGCTGCTTGTTTACATATTTAGTTGCAATTGGTGTCATGAGCAGTTCTTCTTGCTAATCTGATAACTGTTGGACCCGATGTACTTTTCTTTTACACTCAATAAGTTGTTACAAGTCACAAATCCTTTATGTTTCAGTTGTAATCTTATACGAATACAATGTCAGATGTCTCATTTGCAGTTAATCATCAATGAATACTCCATGAGGCTGGTTCGAGAGGAGCAAGGAAAGCAGCCACGACAATGCAGGTGAGGGGAAAAAGCCAAGAGGCGATTGCCTCTTTTGATTTCACCGGAAACACAACCCCATCCTGGTGGTTATTCTTGGCAGGGAACGAAGAATAAGAAATGATAATTTTTACACTATTTTTATTTTGTATTTATTTATGAATAGAGTGTATTCATTTGTGAATATCAGTGTATTTATGTGTGAATGACTATTTAATTATACATAATTGTTTATTTAACATTTTTGCAGATCCAATGAATAAACATGCATATAGTGGGAGGTGGGAGATTTACCAAATGAAACACCGACACCAATAGATTTCGGAAGGAGCGCAAAGATGTTTTATTCATTTATGATTGTAATTGTAGTACTAGTTTCCGTATCAAAAAAATATATATTGTAACTTATTCATTTACAATTATAATTATATTCTTATATGAATAGAAATGTGTTTTCTTTATTTATACATGAGTATCATTTTAGTTGATTTTATAATCTTTTTTTCGGGTTTTATTCTTTTATGATTTTACAAGTGTATTCATAAATACATCTGAGTTAATTCGTTTATAATTTACAATTTTATTCATTTTAAAATGAAATGTATAAATCATTATTTATGAAGATATATTTTTTTTAAATAAATGAGGTAAACCGATAAATTGTTCATTCTCTTGATATTTGATTGCTAATAATGAAACATAAAAATGAAAAATGAAATGAAAAAAAAAACGTTTTTTTAGATAGAAATTAAATCATGATTTTATTAATTATTGGTTCATTAAAAGAATAGGATCTAAAAAATGAGATATTTTGGATAATTGTCATCATAATCACTAAAATTTAGGAAATCATAATTTAATTAGATGGTAAAATTCCATTTATGCCCTGTAAAAATGATTGGTCTACAATTGTTCTTGCGTTCTCAACCTTTTAGGTGTTCTCATTTGATCATCTCCCTATATATATATATATATATATATATATATATATATATATATATATATATATATATATATATATATATATATATATTGTGTGTGTGTGTATGTTTTTGTTTTATATGTGTATTATCATAAAAAATACTAAAATTGACTTTCATATGCCTACCAAAAGAAAAAAGAAACTCCTAAATATGACAACTTCCTTCCTACTAATCATGCTCAAAATTTGGTAAGAACTAAGAAGTTTTCAGAAATCACATAAACAACTTTGGGTATTTTTGGCATTTCACTCTACACATGTTTACTACCAATTACCACATTTTTTTTTTTCAATTTTAGGAAGTGTTTGGCTCAACATAGCATTGGGGCAGAGTCTTCGCATCCTTCCTTTCATCGCCGAATCTAAAGGATTCATGTGGCAATTTCTTCAAATTTTTCGTTTTTATATATACACGATACAAACATCACTTTCTTTCTCTGTCTCTCTCTCTTAAACTATATCAAACTAGAAATATGAAACTTTATAAATTATTATATATAAATTTTCATTGTAAACAAGTATCATCCATTATAATTTACATGAATGAGTTATTTCTTCAGATTTCGTAAAATAGATAAAAAAAAACAATACGTTTGACATTTATTGTAAATACTTATTCATTGTTGTAGTATTATCACATTTATTTAAATATAATTAATTACAAAATATCAAGGATCTACAATAAAGCAAGTGGTGTTGGTTACTGGTTGGGGGAAATTTTGATTCTCTTACCCCAAAAATAGAAACCCAAGATTTACTTGATTTTCTCAACGAAATTTAGCGAAGTTACTGTGTTGAGTCATTCTTACAATATGCAGTTGAAAACAAAACCCTAAAAAGGGTTCTCAGTAAGAACCAATTCGCCGCCTGATTAACCTCTTCTCCCCCACTCTTACCTTTCTTGATACATATAACTCGAACAAACCCTCATCACTATCACTGTTCTTTCGCCTCTATCTTTCTTAGTTTCTTGGAAACCCTTTCTTTTATACTCGCTGTTCTTGCAATCTAATGTGAAAACAGTGATAAAAAGTTGCCAAAATTACGCTTATTGTATCTTCTGTCTGTAGCTTTTTATTTATTATTTATGTTCGTTGTTTGACGATCGAGTATCGTGCCTGTAGATTATAAACGAGTGACCATGTTTCTGGGGTTTTCTTGATCAAAGTTTTGATATTTACGGGTTTCAAGAACTGATTCTTAGGTTTTTAGATCATAGTGAAGCTCAAATTTTTATTTTTGTTGTAGGGTTTTTAGGGTTTGTCTGTTTTTGTTACGTGGTTGATCAAAGACTCGATTTTTATTAGCTAAATCCACAAATTTCCTTATATTCTCACCCGGGTTATGATTGTTTAGGGTATATTATCATTTCTTTTCTCTGGGTATCTTTCTTTTTAGTTTTATAGGTTTAATTGGGGTATGCGCATATAGTTTTCATCCTTGAAGATGTTATCTGAATTGAATAGGAGACCCATGATCGGCACAAATGATGGTTCATTTGGAGACGAGTTGGAGAACGAGTTAGGATTGTTGCTTCACGAACACAGGCGAGAGGCTGATGATCATGAAAAGGAGTTAAACATGTATAGAAGTGGCTCAGCGCCACCTACTGTGGAGGGTTCTTTGAGCGCAGTTGGTGGTTTATTTGGTAATAACAATGGAAGCAATAATAATAACAATCATTTAGCGTTCTCTGAGTTTGCTGGTGGCAATGGATTTATGTCGGAGGATGAACTTAGGGCTGATCCCGCTTATTTATCTTACTATTACTCAAACGTTAATTTAAACCCTAGGTTGCCGCCACCATTGCTGTCAAAAGAGGATTGGCGGTTTTCCCAAAGAATGCAAAGTGGTGGTGGTGGTGGGGTGGGTTTAGGAGGGATTGGGGATAGGAGGAAATCTAACCGGACTGATGGTGGTGGTGGCGGCAGCGGTGGTGGTGGGGTGTCTCTTTTTTCTATGCCGCCTGGCTTTAACTCGAAGAAACAAGAGGCTGAGGTTTCCGAGGCAGAGAAAGTTAAGGTTTCAGCTGAGTGGGGTGGTGATGGATTGATTTGGGTTGCCTGGTTTAGGGCTAGGTAGCAAACAGAAGAGCCTTGCTGAGATTTTTCAGGTGATTTTTTTTTTGTTTTCTGCTTCAGTTTATATGAAATTTATTGATTATTGATTTAACTTCTGATTTCTAGTTGATGTGTTTGAAGAGATTGTTTAATGTCACTGAATGATGATAAAGTTGCTTGTAGCAATGGTTTTGTGACGCTTGTTATCAAGATTTCTGTTTGAGTATCTTGATAAATGTTGATTTATGATTATTTAGTCAAAAAATAATTAGATCTGGAAAAGCAGTAAAAAGTTGCTTCAAGAAAAATTGGTTAGACTGATTACTTGTTCTGACTGTTCAAGTTGCAATAATTGCTTTCAAAACAAACATACAATATCAAAAAGTGCTTACTTGCTTGTTATGTTGACTTTGTTGATTTTTTCTCTTTCAAATTCAAGCTTTCAATCGTCTTCTTTCATGAATTTTCAAAAAATGTTATTTTTAGGTTTATCACCCATGTTCCTATTCTATGATATCGAGTGATCGAAATCAGAAAGTAATCAACTGTAATAAAACATAGTACATGACACAGTTTGTTGTTGTGACAAATTCTGATTATTCAAAGAAGCAATAGATAAATCAAGGGTAAATAAGTATTTGACTCTCCCTTTTGGGTCAAACGCAATATACTGATTATATGATATATGAAACATGCAGGATGATTTGACCCGTTCGACTACACCTTCCGGGCACCCATCTCGACCCGCAAGCCGCAACACTTTTGAAAACAATGATGACAACAACAACACACTGCCAACATCATACTCTTATGCTGCAGCATTAGCAGCTTCTTTATCAAGAAGCGGGACCCCCGACCCGCAACACATTGCCCGGGTCCCTAGCCCGGTCCCGACTCCAATCGGAGGCGGGCGGGTCGAAAAAAGAAATCTAAACGGTCAAAAGAATCTCTTCAATGGCGGGTCATCTTCAAAAGAGTCAGAAGATCTGGTGACTGCATTATCTGGCATGAACTTGTCAAATGGAAGCATGGGTGAAGCCAAGAATCGGGCCCACTTTGATCAGAATCCAGATTACCATGATGCTTATCCATCCAATAATAACAATAACAGTAACAATAATAGTAATAATCTGTATGTTGATGGATCCTCTAATAATAGCATCTATGGAGGCTGGGATCCAGCGTATTCCAACTATGGTACAACCGCGTACACCACCAATTCGCCACAAATGGTGTCGGGTCAAGTCGGCAATTTGAACCTGCCGCCACTTTTCGAGAACGCTGCTGCCGCGGCCTCTGCCATGGCTTTCCCAGGAATGGAATCAAGGTTCGGAATGGAATCACAGAGCAGAATCGGGGGAAACACGCCTTTTATCGACCCGATGTATCTTCAGTATCTGAGAACAACCGAATATGCAGCTCAGATAGCTGCTCTGAATGATCCGGGTCTTGATAGGAACAGTTATTTAGGCAATTCGTATACGGATTTGCTTCAAAAAGCATATCTTGGAAGCTTATCATCACCACAGAAGTCACAGTATCCGTTTGGTGGAAAGTCTGCAAGTCCAAACCACCATGGGTATTATGGGAATCACGGTTATGGAATGGGATTATCGTATCCCGGGAGTCCATTGATAAGCCCGGTTCCAAACTCACCTCGGGGACCGGGTAGCCCGATTCGACTCGGTGAACTCAATGCACGATTCTCCCCTCAAATGAGGAACTTAGGTGGTGGTGGTGGTGGTGTTATGGGGCCTTGGCATCTTGATGGTGGTGATAATAGCTTTGCTTCTTCTTTGCTTGAAGAATTTAAGAGCAACAAAACCAAGTCCTTTGAGCTTTCTGAAATCACTGGGCATGTAGTTGAATTCAGGTATACATATATAAGTTTATAAATGAGTAGATGTTTTTAAATTCTATATTAAAAGTTGATCTTTTTTTTTTAATGAGCAGTGCGGATCAGTATGGGAGTCGTTTCATTCAACAGAAACTTGAAACTGCAACTACAGAAGAAAAAAACATGGTTTTCCAAGAGATCTTTCCACAGGCACTTACACTGATGACTGATGTTTTTGGAAACTATGTGATTCAGAAGGTATAATAATATCGTTCAAGATGGGACCCACAAAACAGAGTTGACTTTTTTTTTTCTATTTTGGATTGACTTTTGTTATTGCAGTTTTTTGAGCATGGAATGCCAACCCAAAGAAGAGAATTGGCTGGAAAGCTTTTAGGCCATGTGTTGACACTCAGCCTTCAAATGTATGGTTGTCGTGTAATCCAGAAGGTAAATTATCATTTTTTATTTGGTAAATGGTAATTGACATGAGTTTTTATCCATGAATTTGTCTAAATGTTGACTTTTTTAGGCAATCGAAGTTGTTGATTTGGACCAAAAGATCAAAATGGTTGAAGAACTTGATGGACATATCATGCGATGTGTACGTGATCAGAATGGAAACCATGTTATTCAAAAGTGCATTGAATGTGTTCCTGAACAACATATTCAATTCATCATTACCACTTTCTTTGATCAAGTTGTCACCCTTTCCACCCATCCATATGGGTGTCGTGTCATCCAGGTTTGATACTGTGTTCTTTTAGTTGTTTTCACTTAACTTTTTAAAGGCTAAATACAAGAAATAGAAAAACATACTCTTATTTATGTTTTTGCAGAGGGTACTTGAGCATTGTGAGGATCAAGAAACACAAAACAAGGTGATGACTGAGATTCTCGCGTGTGTAAGCATGCTTGCACAAGATCAGTATGGAAATTATGTTGTACAGGTGCAGAATACAAAATAGCTCTTATTTTGATTTTAATATTTCATTTTCTATATGATATTTTGTTTATAAAAGATATGGATTTTGTGTTTGGAGCACAGCATGTACTGGAACATGGAAAGCCGGATGAGCGTTCGATCATAATCCATGAGTTGGCTGGAAAGATTGTTCAGATGAGTCAACAGAAATTTGCGTCAAATGTTGTTGAGAAATGTTTGACTTTTGGTGATGCTAGTGAACGCCAACTCCTTGTGAATGAGATGCTTGGCACTACTGATGAGAATGAGCCTCTTCAGGTTTGTTTTCCTAATAGAGAAGATCAGGAAATGAGGCTTTCACATTATTTCAAATAATTTTTAAACATGATCTTTATCCAGACAAGAAACAGTTGATGAAAAACAAGAAACAGGGTGTTAATGTATTATGTGATATGTGATTCAGGCGATGATGAAAGATCAGTTTGCAAATTACGTGGTGCAAAAGGTACTGGAAACTTGTAGTGATCAAGAACGTGAGCACATACTGACACGAATCAAAGTTCATCTGAATGCACTGAAGAAATACACGTATGGGAAACATATCGTTGCTCGTGTAGAGAAGCTTGTTGCTGCTGGAGGTATGTTATGTTTTCACTTACTTCTAAAAGTCAAATGTTGACCTAAAACTTTTCCAGTAATAGAATTTGAAATTTTGGTTTTTTTGTTGACAATTGCAGAAAGGAGGATTGCAGCCCAGTTGTCACATGGTGCTTAGGAGCACTCCATAGGAAGAGATGTACAGCTAATTAACTGAGAGGCTAGTTTGAGCTATACACCTTTCTGTCTGAAAATAGTGGTTGGTTGAGGCTATATTTATTATATGAGCCTAGATTTGCAAATGTACTAGAAGAAACTGTAAATGCTGTAGTTTATACATAGTCGAGGGGGCTACACGGGTTTCCTAAATTTATAAGGGTGTAAAAAATGAGTGTTACACACTTGTGACGTGACATGACTGTACAAAAATGTTGCCCGTGGTCGTTTATGTTTCTAGGCAGAGAGTTGGATTGTCCTTGTTATGTATCGTATCGTATTTAAAACAGTTTTCTTTTTCAGTCAAAAATGTCACTTTGAACATGTCTGTTTTCATGCTTCTTGCATTCATGTATTTTGTGTAGCATTCTCAATTTTTCCTACTTTACATGCTAGTAGTTATAGCTGGACACAGTTAGGTCTGGTCAGCAGATTGGTCCAAACGTTTGATATGTAGGACCGATTGGTTAGACCTGTCTGTTCGTAGTTAGTTATTGTGTATTAGCAGATTTCAGTTCAAGATTTTTTATAAATATTTTCTTTGTTCTAGGTATTGGAATCAGACAGCCATTTACTTTTTTATTTTTCAAACTTAAATTAAATGACATTGCTTGATGTTTTGCTAAATCCGGATCGGATGAGACGATCCTACTAAAATAAGCTTTTGTAGCATCTATTATGTTTTGATGTTGATCTAGACACAATTTGACTTTTTTAAGCCGCGACCATAATTCTTGTACAATTAAAGACATAAATCACATAGACATTAAATGGCATGTCACGTTCTGTCTTACCCACTTCAAGACAAATAGATAAAGTTGTGATGCTTGATTTGAGTTGAATGAACGAATTTTTCAGGGCCTGATTTCAAAGAGATTGAACAATTTTTAGTCTCTGTATGAGATTTTTCGGCAAAATAGAGGTATTTCTTAGGGTTTAGAAAACTAAAATTTCGTTATAAAATAAAGACCAAAGAGATATATGATCGCATCGGGTAAAGATCCTACATATCTTGTTTCAGAATTGATCCTAGTGCGATCAAAACTTGTCTGCTATTATTGAGCCATCAATAGCATCTCCATACTACTCAAATACCAAACTATGCCAAAGACTAACGAACCAAACACACGGGTCTCCTCGACACCATTCTCGTCCCAACTCACATAAGTGCAATCCACGTTGGTTCACAACTTGCCGTGACCCCATCCGACCACTAGAATGAGAAGTCACGGTTCCTCACCATTCTTGTCATCACAAAACACAAACATGAAAACTCCCGACCAGCACCCAATGGGAATGGGCCTATAGGCACACACCCATCATCCCATCGACCTATAGGAACCCAATCAACATCTCACTCGGTAGCCTCTTAATTGAAAAATTAAGAGGCAAACTCTTAATTTTTAAGATGTAGACTGTTTGGTTACATATGAATTTATGCCTCTTAATTTATAAGCTGCCTCTTAAACTTTCAGATCTAAAGGCGTGTCTGAAAAATAAAAACAACGCTGATTCCCTCTTTGCCCAAATACTTTATCTCATTCTCTCTACTCTTTCTTCTTCACAAATGTCGCTTCCCACTGCTCTGATTGCAACCCTCCGGTCATCCCCTCCAGACACTGCAAGAGACGTCGTCTCCGACTTCATCGCTGTCTCCGACATCCAAACCCTTCGGCTCCCTCATCGACGTCGGTTCTCTTCCACCCCTTTCTCCTCCTGCTCTGATTCTGTCTGCATCCATTCCGTCGACAACCTGGCCGCCGCCGTCTTCGCCTCCGCCTCCGGTTGCTTCACATGTGCCGCCTTCACCTCCGGTATCTTCTGCAGGTAACATTTTCTTTTTCTCTTGTTATGTAATTCGAGTTTAATGCTTGAAAATCTAGTGTGTTTCCACTGTAATTCGAATATCAGAGAATCGTTACTTTGAGGTTAGTTTTGGTTCAGTTTTGATTTATGATAATGTGTTGATTTCTGAAATATATGGGGTGATTTCTGATTTTGTGTTTATTTGGTGAAATATATTGCTGAGAATGTGTTACTAGTTGCTGATTTGTTCCTTTTTATTGAAAATGTGTTCCTAGTTGTTAATATAAGTTGCTGATTTTCTTAATTTGCTGAAATCTGTTGCGGATCTTGTTGTTATGTGCTGAAATGTTGTTGACATATGTTGTTGATCTTTGAAATTTGATAATGTTATTGACGAAATCATATGCTTTGCTTGTTGTTTATTTTTTTTTCTTCTGAAATATGATAATATTTTGTTGATGAAATGATATGCTTTTTGTTTTTCTTGATGAAATATGAATATTAGCATGTTATGGATTCACTAAATGAAAGTACAATGTTATATATTGAACAGGTGGTGTCTATTAGTGGATGATATTTCACACCCACAAGCTTAGGGAGTTCATTAACATTAGATTTGTTATGGATGGACATAGTTCTAAAAGATTTCAGAAAGCAATGAAAGCATGAGCTTTGGTTATAATCAAGAAATGATAGTGTTATGTTTGATTTGGATTTATGTTTAATATGGATTTTATATGGTATTTATAAATTTTTTATAATTATTCAAGAAGTTGATTCAGTTATTTTATAAAAAACGTTAAATTTAGCAAAAATAACATAAAAGGGTAAAATGATCATTTTTATAATTCAGCACTGAAATTCAGAGGTTCCAACCAAACATCATTTGAAAATTCAGATCTTAAAAATTCAGACCCTCTTAGAAATTCAGACCTCTTAAAAATTCAGCTCTTATAAATTCAGATCCTGCCAAACAGCCCCATGGTATATATAAAACTATCTTACATTTTTTTAGTACTTATATGTCTACATTTTCCAAAAACCATATTTCAGTTCAAGATTTTTTTTTTATAAATATTTTCTTTGTTCTAGGTAATGGAATCAGACAGCCATTTACTTTTTTGTTTTTCAAACTTAAATGACATTGCTTGATGTTTTGCAAAATCCGGATCGGATGAGAAGGTCCTACTAAAATAAGCTTTTGTATCATCTATTATGTTTTTGATGTTCTAGACACAATTTGACTTTTTAAAGCCCTTGTACAATTAAAGACATAAAATCACATAGACATTAATTGGCATGTCACGTTTGTTTTACCCACTTCAAGACAAATAGATGAAGTTGTGATGCTTGATTTGAGTTGAATGAACGAATTTTTGAGGGCCTGATTTCAAACAGATTGAACAATTTTTTAGTCTCTATATGAGATTTTTGGGCAAAATAAAGGTATTTCTTAAGGTTTAGAAAACTAAAATTTCGTTATAAAATAAAGACCAAAGAGATATGATCGCATCGGGTAAAGATCCTACATATATTGTTTCAGAATCGATCCTAGTGCGGTCAAATCTTGTTTGCTATTGAGCCATCAATAGCATCTCAATACTGCTCAAATACCCAACTATGCCAAAGACTAACGAACCAAACACACGAGTCTTCGTGACACCATCGTCGTCCCAACTCACGTAAGTGCAATCCATGTTGGTTCACGACTTGTCGTGACCCCATCCGACCACTGGAATGAGAAGTCACGGTTCCTCACCATTCTTGTCATCACAAAACACAAACATGAAGACTCCCGACCAGCACCCAATGGGAGTGGGCCTATATGCACACACCCATCATCCCATCGACCTATAGGAACCCAATCAACATCTCACTCAACACCAATAAAAAACCACAAGAGTCATACCATTCTGAAACAAGCAACCTTCCCACAGACCAGGCTGCCACTGACACATCATCAGACGAACACATGATTGCGCGTGACCAAAAATAAGATAGATGGTTGAACGCTTGATCCAACCAGAAAGCAATAAATTAGATGAGAACCATGCCCGAAAGCCAAACCAGGTGTTCTCAGGCTATCTTATCCAATCCATCTGAAGTCCTCATAATCATTTTAGACGGACCTCAACCGTCATCAGAAACATCCTCATGAACAACCGAAACAAGATCCTACACCTTAATTGAAACTGAACACATCCTACCAATGCAAAACTAACTTAATAAAACTTCCAGACTCGGAGGAAGATTCCAAAATTATTCGGAAATGTTGTTAGATGCAAACTGAGGACAATCGGCTTTCACGTGGCCCGTCTGGTTGCAGTTGAAACAAACCCGAAATCCCTTGGGGAAATACCTAGCCAGATGCCCCTCCATGCCACACAGGTAGTAAGTTGACCCCGACCGACATGGTCCCTCGTGTCCCTTGCCGCACTTCCTGCAAGTGCGGATTTTTTGGCCTCCAACTCTCTAATCCACGGGCTTGGGTCGCTTAGTCTTCGACTGCGACTGCACATGCCTCCTATTTCTTCCCTGGGTTTACCTCTCCTCCCTAGCCTGAGTCTCCATCTCAATGTCTCTCCTCCTGGAATTGGTCTGCAGCTCAGCCAATGTCCGATACGTGGTGTTCTCCACAAACTCTCAGATATCCCTCCTCAAAATACTCAAATAGTGATTCATATGGGTCTGCTCCATGGATACCTGCTCAGGGCAAACAAAGCCCTCTCATGAAACATCCTGGTAATCAGTCACCGTCTCTATCTTCTACTTGAGAGACAGGAACTCCTGGGCCAACCTTTCCCGCTCGATCGCGGGTACAAACTCATCCTTGAACATCCCTGAACATCCCTGAACATCTCAGTAAACTCATCCCTGGACAGGAGCAGGTATAGAAACATCCCTCAACATCAGAGATCCATCTCATAGCGGCAATCAGATCCTGGGTCCCATCAAAATCGGGTGGCTTCGTGTTGGTGAACTCCCTGTACCACAATGAATCACCCCCCTGCGGCCTCGTAGCAACAAGAGCTATGGTGGCGACGACACCAGCAACCTCATTGACAGCGGCATAACGCTCATCAAAAGTCTCAATCAACATGGTCTTGACAGACCCAATCATCTCTGGGATAGCCTCTCTGATTGCTGCGGCTACATCCGCGACAACAATCCTGTGAATCTCATCATCGTTGGTACTCGACCTCTCGGGGTCGTTGGAGCCTGAACCTCGAGTAACCACCATACTGAAACACATAAGAAAAATTATCAGCAAACAGGCTAAAGCGCATATACCGACACTCACTCTCCTACAAGCTCTTTCTTCCCTTGAGGTTATTCCTCGAGCCGCGTATGGATCCAGTTCTTCCAGTAGTACGGGCCCAATATTACCTTCCACACCAACCCGTATTTGTCTTGAGTCATTCCCCCAAGACCCTAAGTCACAAGGTC